TATGATAACATTACTTAGAAGTCAACTGGTATCATATTTTGTGGCTTTTTTATGTTCCACTTTTGTTATTTCTTTCTTTGCTTTATTGCAATAAGTACTTGCATGTAAAAATATGTGTCCATATATTTTGAGTTATTTTCCTCTTGTCATTATCTTATTGTACTGTTACACATTCTTCCTATCAGAGTTGATTTATCACATTCAAAGGTGTAATTTTGCTGTTGAATTTTAGGACACATACTGTTCCCATGTGTGCTTTCTGGCTAATAAAATTAGGTAAAATGAACCTGAAAAATGAAAAATGACCATAAAATACCTGTCAGCCTTTTTATAATCAACGGTTTAAAATAGATTATCATAATTTTCAATTAACTTGCTCAGAAGGGTCATGTCATACAACCCGCTATGGGAGGAACACTATCAGGATTAAGCAATGAGCAGCAGGTTTCCTTATCACCAGTGAGTATTGACAGTATGCAAAAGACACAGAGATGCTACCGGATTTATTCAACAATTGTGAGAGAGTTTGCTGCTAGATAATTCAGATGTGCTAGCCTAACAGAAGTGATAGAGAGACAACCTTATTGTAAGGGTCTTGTAGAAAGAGCTCAGATGGGGATGCTTATCCATGTCTGTTTTGTCTATAACAAATATGAATAGAACAAATGTAGATTTGAAATTTTTATTAAGGCTTCTCTTGAATGACCAGTAAAATCAAATTCTGCCTCAAGATGTTAAGAATACATGTGGATTCATGAACAATTATTTAGCATTTATTTTGCATTGTTTGGTAGTATTTAATAAAAGTACAATTTGAGGTATTCTACTGTTCTAGAAGGGAGAGGATATTGAATTTTTTTTCAAAGAGGAAATAAACATCAGATTTCTAAAATAGACTAAGACCCATTATCCTAAAGTATGTATGACAATGAATGACTCGGGAAACCATTTGCAAAAAATTAAAATGCAGTGCTGATGACTGGTTTTGTGGGATCAAACTGTAGCCTATTTTGTCAGGAATGCCTAGATAATTTTTGTGATTTATTGGTATTGATGATTAAACACAGTAAAACCTTTTAAATAGCACTTCTGGTTTGCTCAGAGGGATTCCACATGTTAGGCATTCCATGAACTTAACAACAGATGCTTGGTATTTATCATGTTTCCCATTGAAACATGTTAAAATAGTATTGCCCATAGAAGCCTATTCATATAACTTAATGATACTATCCTAACTAAAAGAGGCCCTTTATATGTGAAGAAGAAGAAAAAGCAAACAAATTGGGCCTTTTAAAAAAAAACACATTCTAAAATGACAGAATATATAGACTGCAGTAGGGGGCTATGGTAGGGTGCCAAAGGGGAAGGGGGTATATAGATGATTTTCTGTATGAAATAAACAAAAATTCAATAAAGAATTAAAAAAAGAAAAAAAGTTAGTCTTTAGACTAACCAGTCTTCCCACTCGTGCATTTTCTTTTATCGGGCTTTCTGACCGCATCCCCATGTGAACCTTCTTGAACATCTCACAACAGTACTTAATCATTAAGGTTCACCGTGTCCCCAGAAGGGTTCTGTGCTCCAAAATGACTTTACTCTTTTTTTACTTCCCCCAATCAAGCCTTCTATTCTCAGAGCAGCTGAGTTCAACTAACAACATGACAGGACTGCCTTCTCATAGTAAATTAATTCATATTTGCCCAGTATTGGCTAGTAGAGGATTAACATTTTCCAATGAAGAAAGTTTCAATGAACAGTATGTTTCTAGTTGCAGGCATTTCAAGCAAGTGAGAATAATTTTAGATTAACTTATTCTTGAAGATACTTTGAGGATAAGGAACATGCTCAGACGTTCCCAGAGTCAAGTCATTCAATAAAATGTTTCCTGTTTGTCCAGGTCCTTCCTTTCTATGTTTTCTGCATTTTCTCCTAAAAGATTCCAAGCTTTTTCATCATAATGAACTTCTCTATAATGAAGTAGCATGGAAGAAGAAAGGGATTGGTGGTCATTTCTTTACATATTGTCAAACTCATATTTATCTGTATTCGTGTTTCTTATAGTACATGGATAATAACATAAGGACTTTTGCCCCCCCTCCACAATTATATTAATAGAGGAAAAAAAGCACAGAAATTTGAAGGCATATTATAAATGGATTCCCAATTTCTAGACACTTTGTCTAGGTTTTCGGACCCAGACATCCATTTTATTACATTATTTTGTAAGAACAATACAAGCCATAGTGAATCTATATTGATCAATTACAATAAAATTTTATTTGGTATTTTTCCACATTTCAGTGCTTACTAAGGCTTTTTTTTAGTGTTTATCTTGATATCAGTGGTTACAGAATTTGTTCGAATGATTTCGTACTGTGCTTTCTGCAGGAATGTAATAGCATCAATAGTGATTATTCAAAAAATGCATTATGCTCTTGGATTCATTGTTCCTGCTTTTAGTCTTACAGTGTATTGAAATCTGTTCTATAATTTGAGTAAGATAATAATGCTTGATCACCTAAAATTCACTTTGATTGTTAATATGTGGGAAATTGTACTTGAATGCTTAGTAAATCCTAAATTTTAAGCATATGTTTCCCTAAAATTTAAAGTAAATTGTACAGGGCAACGTCATTTTAAGACAATGAAATTCCACATTACTTACATTATGTTGGAAAATTATGTGCATTTCAATTATTGAATAGCAAGAAATTTTAGCTAAATGCTTAGAAATCATATGCATATGTCCATGATCACCAAGTAAAGATTTGTTCTATATTCATACTTTTAAACCATGGACAACAACTGCTGGATGACTGTTTTGCTTTTGTTTTTCTTATCTACTTATGGCTACTAATTTACTTTTGAGAAGATATTTATTAAACATCCAATTTTATGTGGGGCAGTTCTAGAGAGTGTACTAATATGTCAATTCATTTATTAATAATTGGCATTATTTGATCAAATGCTCACTTTTTATTAAATATTGCTCAGGTTACATTTCAGCACTGTTCTTAAATTTGTTATCGCTGAAATTGATACACTTATAGCAAAAGTGTAAGCTATTTTAAAGAACACCACAATTATTTTTAATACTGGGAAAGAGAGAAACTGTTACTTTTAAATATATGCATACAATTTAATTAACTATCCAGATTCCACCATGGTTTGTAAATGAGAATTTGTCTTGTGTTAAATTCCATAGTGTAAAAAAGACAATAGGTGGTTTCCTGTATTTGATTTTTTTCATAACAAGAAGTGATGTTGGTAGTCATGAGTTACACGGGACTTATGTAGAGAGAGCATAGTTTGCAACTGCCATATTCAAAATTCATTTTCCATTACTTTCTAAACACTTAAGAATTCTTGTACCTACTTTTCTGACATAGAGTATTCTGTTCACTAGGGTGTCATTGCACTTTGTGACAGAAATGTTGGTAAATAGTAATTGTGTGTAGATTTGCTTCACAGGTTTGTAAAAACCTAAAAGCTGAAATTGAAAGAACTGTAACTTTCTTTTTCTGGCTATATTATAGAATTGATACCATCATTTATTTTATAAGTAGTTTCTTTAAAGCACTGTTCCTTTTGACGTTGATGTTTTCATTCAATCATTGTACAAATTTTTCATCTTGTAAGATCAAATCCAGTAGTATTTTTACAGTGTTATTTTCTCTCAGAGTGCTGCTAAAGAAGTGGCTATCATTTTGAATTTACAACATGCCAAAGATGACATAAGATTATATTTATTTTTGTTCTTGTTAAAACTGTGAGCAAAATTATCAAGAAATCATGTTAAATTACTGGCATTCTCTGGGTACTAAATAAAAAGGCTGTAACTTTCTAACGTTTTACACTTGATCTTGCTTGATCATTTGTGGATGTAAACTGTCTGCTTTTATTAAACACATTTAGCTAAATTGTAAAATTAATTGAATAGTATATATATATGTGAATAGTATATATAATTTGTGTGTCTGAGACAACACAAATACAGGCACTGTTCAGGAGCCAGATATAGCAAATGTTGAAAGATAGTACTAGGTTATAAATATCTCTTCATAATTCCAGAACTATGTTTTTCTCCATTTAAGATTATTCTTCTGATATTCTTATAAAACAAAGGAATTCAAGAAAATAGACATACAAACACAGTATTTTATAACTCATTAGGAAAATATATTAGTCTCCAAGAACTGACCAGTTTTTTAGAGTTTGGAATA